GAAATTTGCCCATTTATACTCACTGTTTCTTATTAATTAGCCAGTTTTTGATCCACAAAAGGACTTGTCCTTTTATCCCATGACTATTGAGCTTACTTAGGAGCCTTTGATGAGGAACTTTATCAAAAGCTTTCTGGAAGTCAAGGTAAACAACATCTATAGAATCCCCCTTGTCCACATGTTTGTTCACTCCCTCAAAAAACACTAACAGGTTAGCGAGACAAGATCTTCCCTTACAGAACCCATGCTGAGTCTGCCTCAATAGTTTTTGTTCATCAATGTGCCTACTAATTCTTTCCTTAATAACAGTTTCCACCAACTTACCCGGTATCGACGTCAGACTGACTGGCCTGTAATTTCCCAGATCTCCTCTGGAACCCTTTTTAAAGATGGGAGTGACATTAGCTACCTTCCAGTCCTCAGGAATGGAGGCAGATTTTAATGAAAGATTATATATTTTTGTCAGGAGATCCACAAATTCATATCTGAGTTTTTTCAGAACTCTCAGATGCATCCGGGCCTGGTGATTTATCAGTTTTTAAGTTGTCTATCAGTTGTAGGACCTCCTCTCTTGTCACGTAATCTGACTCAGGTCTTTCAACACCCCTCCCGAAATCAGCAGTCCTGGAGTGGGCAAGCACTTTTCATCTTCCACAGTGAAGACAGAGGCAAAAAATGCATTCAGCTTCTCAGCCATTTCCCTATCATCCTTCACTACTCCTTTTACCCCTTGGTCATCCAAGGGCCCCACTACCTCCCTGGCTGGTATCCTGCCTCTAATGTATTTGAAGAAAGTTTTATTGTTGGTCTTTATGTTTTTTGCTATATGCTCTTCATATTCCCATTTTGCCTGCCAGATCACAGACTTTCCCAGAATTTATAACCTACTGTGTATTTGAAGCAATTCATAGAATCCAGATATCAAAGCAACATAAAAATAGTAAAACTAACTATGATAAAACATAGTGGTCAAAACACAACTTACCCACTTGTGTTTGTTTTTTTTAAAGAACAGGTTGACTACTGTTCTAGTCTAGAGAAAAGGGTCCTCTAAAGTCAGAGAACCAAATTTCATTGAAGAGAGCCATTTTACAGAGTTTTCTGGGCTCTGCCAATCAAGTTGTCTTCTGTACCCCATTTGGCAGAGCATACTAAAAGAAGGGGTGATAATTTAGAAAACCGTAAGCCTTGAACTAACCAGGCATACCTCTTTTGAAAAGTACACCTTAGTTAAGCAGCACTGTGTAGATCTAGGCTGGGAGCTGTGTCTATGTAGGGAGCAGTGCTTCTTCAGATATATGGGTCCCAGGTCGTAAGAGGCTTTGAAAGATCTCAACTCAGGGGTGTCAAACATAAGGCCCGAGGGCTGGAACCAGCCCATCCAGGGCTCTTATGCGGCCCTCAAGCAACTATTGCAAGGGAGGGAACAGAAGGCTGCTCAGGGAGGAGTGGGTGGAGCCACTCTGATTGTGGCTTCAGTACGGCGGAACAACCTCATCTGCAGGAGTCAAGCAATGTGGGAGCATCTCCCCAGTGCTGCACCGCTGGCTCTCCAGTACGCCCATACGGATTTTCCTTTGCTTCCTCCTCCCAGCCCATGGGGCCTTGTGGTGAAGATACAACAACTTGGAGCTTACCAGCTGCTGTCCTTTATACAGTTTCTGTCTCCAGTACCTAGCATTATTTTTTATGGAACACATGGCCCAGCCAGACAAAGTGACATTTATGTCAGATCCAGCCATCTTAACAAATTAATTTGTTAACTTAAGTTAACTGCCTTAACTTATGTTCAGGATCAAATAGGCAGCCAGTGTAGCTGCTGTAAAACTGGGGTCAGATCTGTGCCCCCTTCCCATCAAAAGGCAGTATTATCCCAGCAACCTCCAAAGGCAGCCCCACATAATGCATGTTACAGTAATTCAATCTGGAGGTTATGAAACCATGAATCAGTGTGAACCTCAGTGATTTGTTTGTGCAGGTGTGTGTGGGGGGGGTGTTCCTCATCTCACACATATTCATTGAAGCAAAGCTCTATTGGTTATAATATGAGACCAATAACTATGCTTAAAAATGACACCGTGAAATTTCTCCTAATGTGTATTTGTGTATGTATGTTTGTCATTGTTTGTCTTGTATATCTCTCATATATAATTGTGTTTTCGGGTGGCACTTCTCCAGAACATTCCACACACTCCCAAATCAGTTGGCTCCCTGATGGGTCAATCACAAGGTGTCTCTATCCATTGGTGGCTGCATTGCATTAGTCCCGCCCATGGAACCGGCGGCCAGCGTCTCGGCCTCAGTATGCTGGGAGGTGACAGACGGGCCGAACGCTCCTGAGGGCAGAGGGTCCTGAGGCCGAGCCCAATCATGGCAGCGCCGCAGCGGTCGGCAGCAGCCACAACCGGCTGCAGGTAGCCGGGTGAGCGGACGGGCGCCAGCACCATGGAGGACAAGGCAGCCAACGAGGACAGCGAGGCTAACATCCAAGAGCTGCACGGCCCCGAGTGGTGATTCACCAACCTCTGCTGCATGGAGGACGGTAGAGGCGGCCAGGCGGGGGGTTGCTCTAGCGGGCAGAGGGGCATCAGGCTGAGGCTGATCATGGTGGCACCGCAGTGGTCGTCGTCGGCCACGGCCGCCTGCAGGTGGGTGGGCAGGCAGTACCAGGGAGAAGAAGGCAGCCAAGAAGGGGGAGGGGAAGGCCGATCTCCAGGAGCTGCACGGCCTCACTGAACTCCCCTGCGTAAGCCGCTGGGGCAGTAGAGCTGGCTGGGCAGGGAGACGGTGGCGGGCCTTCCATCGGCCCTTGACCTCAGGGACTGGGGACAGGGGGGAAAACTGGAGTGGGGGGGGGGGGGACCCGTGTACATGCCAACATATCACATATTGCTAGAGCTCGTTGTATTGATTTTACAATGAGCTTTGCTATTAGTCTGAAATAAAAAAATTTCTTGCAAAATAAACCAGTTATGTACCTGGCAACTCTGGTTTCACAGAAATGTCTACCTTTCTGCTGTTGCTTAAGAGAGGAAGCCTTTTGAATCTGAATGTGTTGCAAAAAGAAGCCAGAACAGGTTTTTTTGTGCTCTGTTTGCTTTGAGGAGTCTGAGACCAGTGTTTTGCAACTGTAGGCTCATTGTTACGTTTCTTTTATTCTTTTAAGTTTAGTGTTTTGCACTGGTTACAAATAGTAAAACAAATTTCTATCTGGAAATGAATTTGTTGAAGGAGGGGAAGGATGCATAGCATGATGGTTGGTATGGCTAGTGTGGAAGTATTTTTCTTCTAATCCAGGCTTTAAAAAAAAAAAAAAGGGGCCAGAACTCTCAAGAGGGAAATGAAGTTTTCAAGCTGTATACTGAAAACTCAGGAACTTTTAAAAAGAATTTTGTCTTAAGAGATTCCAGAACTCCGTTCCAGCACGTTCCCCCAGAAAAAAGCCCTGTTTCTAATGCACGTTGACCTTTTTCACATTCTAAATACTATCTGTGTTAGAAATGGCAACTTCCATGCTAGGAAAAAGCAATATGAGTTTCTTGCAATTGTTTTTAAATATACTATTCTTCAGTTATGTAGGTTAAATTATTAATTTGCTTGTGTCCAAGATCGCTTAATAACTGAATGCAGTACATACTGATGCTTTAGTTTAGACAGCAAACTTGAACTGCGTTTAGGATTCCTGGTGTTCAGATTGATTCTAAACGTCCCTGTGTGCTAAGTATGATGTCTGTTTGCTGTTTTAGGAGAAAGGTGCCCTCAGCTTTGAACGACACTATCATGTAACTGACCCATTCATTCAGCGCCTAGGCTTGGAGGCAGAACTGCAAGTAAGTGGGCACTGTGACAGTTTAAATTACCTTTCTGTCCCTTGATAAGAACATGCTTTCCCTCTGGGAAGATTAGGTGACTTGGTGCAATAGATCTTACTATTCTGTTACCAAAATTAAACAGGGTCCCTAAGAACCCTTACTGTTCAATAAACTAAAGCAGTGACCCCCCCTTTGTTGGGAAACTAGCCATTAAAATAGACCTCACAAGTAATGACTTCCACCTATTTGTAATTCTGGGAGGTAGTGTAACATCATAGTTGATTAGAAACATTTACATGGAACCGAGGAGTGTTCAGAGTGTGGGATCTGTGCACCAGTCCTGCAGGGTGGGTCAGTTATCCCTTATACCACAAAGGGGAGGCTGAGGCTGCAAAACAGTAGTTGACTGAGTTGGTAACAGAGGTGAGATTTTAGCACGGTGGGGGAGGCACCTTCTTTCCAGCTCTGTCTCTTCGAGCTCTGTCTTATGTATGACTAGCATTAAAGCCCATTCTGAAAGCAATACAACGAGATCTAGAAAGAGGCTCTGGGGCAGTGCTCTGGCTTTGGGCAAACAGTGTCAATTTGCTGTGGTGACCTCAGCAGGGTATAATGACAGAGTCCACTGTTTTCTCCAGAGGAACTGATCTCTGCTACCTGAAGAGCAGTTGTAATTGTGAGTGATCTGTAGCCCTCACCTGGAGATTGGCAGCAATTGTTACCCAGGACAAAGTGGCTGGTTTGGAGGGTGTAGTCTATGGCATTCTACCTGTCTGAGGTCCCACCCCTCTGCAAACCCCACCCTCTCCAGGCTCCACCCCTCAAATCCCCAGGAATTTGTCAGCATGTAGTTGGCAACCCCATTTCCTTCCCAGCTAACCATCAACCTACCATTATCTGCCCCTTTGACTTCAGCTGACTTCTGCCCTCCCTTCTGCAGAACAGTTGTAATTCTGAGTGCTCTCCAGCCCTCACCTGGAGATTGGCAACAATGGTTCCCTATCTCAATTCAGATATCTTCTCAAACACGAGTTCCACATTTGCTTCAGACAAGCTCCAGTTCCCTTGCCCACAGCCCCACATGTGACACTTTGGAACTCCAGATGTGCTGTGTGTTCAAAATGCATTAGAATGGGGGGGCGGAAGGACTCAGCAGGTATAATGTCATAGGGTCTACCCTCCAAAGCATCCATTTTCTCCAGGGGAACTGAACTCTGTCATCTGGAGATCAATTGTAACAGTGGGAGCTTACACTCACAAAAGTTAATGTGCTATTGTGGAATCGTACACACTCTGAATTGGGAGTCAAGTTCCACTGAACCCCTCAAGACTTAATTCTGAGTAATCATACATAAGATAATAATTGAATAGCAACGTTCTATTTCGCAACGTTCTAAATTTGGCCCCTTTAGTATTAGGCCGGAAGAACTGCCACTCAGAAGACACTGGCTGGGTTGACTGGCTGCTTTGTGCAGTCCCGCCCAGCGTTCCAAGGTCATTTGCATGTGGGAGCTGATTGGACTTCACTCCATTCCACACCTCAAACTCACACACACACACCCCCGGCAAGGCAGTTGGAATTTTCAGTTGCGTAACATACCTCATAGGGGAGAGGAGAATGATGTCAGCTGCCCTTTCCCTAGGCAGAGGCTGTGGGGTGTGTGTGTGTGTAAAACTTAAAACAGACAGGCAGATTAAGGTTGGCTGATGGTTGCCAGGAAAGGACATAGGGTTGCCAACTCCAGGTTGGAAACTTAATGGGGGTTGCTGAGTTTTTTCCTTCCTCCTGCTTCCCGTCATTCGACCTTTAGCTGATTTTTCTCCTGCTGGGGCTGCAAGACTGAAAGTATCCCTCACCAATATGAGAAATATTTTGGGGGATCTTATGCTGGGGAAGCATGCAAGATTCCTCCTCTACTTCCAATGTGCTTTAAATTTGCCCCCATCCCACCTGTTTTATAGGGTTGGTACCCCATTCTGAACCATGTTTCTGCTGCTGTCATGTCTAGCTTGGTCCTGAGTTGCCCTGGAGTTTGTCATTTCTCTCTTTGACATTCTTGGCTGCCTCTGGCTGTGGTTGCATATTGAGCTATTGTTTGCACTATGGCAGTCATTTTGCAGCTGGATTTTCTGGGTGCAGACAACACAACCTTGTTGGTGCAGACGCCATGATGATGTAATAGCCAGTGGTGTGCGGACACAGCCATTGTTGACATAGGCAGAGATTGCTCTTCTGTCCTCCAGAGATGCACCAACTGCATGGAGAATGCAATATACAGCAACTTTGCTGAAGCGGAGCAGGTCTAAATTGGATGAGTGCCTGGATGGGAGACTCGCTGAAATCCTGTGTAAGCAGTTCCATGAGTTAGATCCTGTGGGAAATGTCCACTAATGCAAGCTGCAGGGATTTTTGCCAATCTCCACTCCTGCTACAGTTCTCTGACCCTTCCCAGTATTGTTTGTGGTGGTCTTTTTGCTCCAATGAGTGGCATTTTGGGCTGTAGTGGGAGAGAGGAGGTGTAGAAGTCCTATTCCTCTGAGGGAATTCCTTCCTTTAGTGGAAGTTTACTGCAGGATCCAAGCCCATGATGGGATACAAATGTAACAACTAGAATCCTAATGGGAACAGACCACTTTATATTTTAAGCTATCATATTATAACTCGTATGTGAGACTACTCCATCATTCTGTTCAGATGTCATGATAAAAGGGTTTTTATTCAAACCACAGTTAGTTGCAATATCTGAATGTCAAAGTTCCAACAACCTGGGGTTTAGTGGTTCGCATTCCCCCAGGATGTCAGACTTAGGGTTTTTTGCTGCTTTGTTGTTGTTATGTTGTTATGACAACTGAATTTACAAACCCACTTCAGTGTTACTGCCCACAGAGAAGCTAGTATTGGAGGATGGAAGGAAGCAGATAAGCTAGAGGATTTATATACATCCCCAACTTTGTTACTTACCAGTCTTTGAGTATGAAAAAAACATGATTTATTCTGAAATCTCAGTGCAGTAACTGAAAATAGTAAAGTTAGATTTAGGTGGGTAGCTGTGTTGATATGAAGTGATAGAAAAAAAATTTGAGTCCAGTGACACTTTTAAGACCAACAAAGTTTAATTCTGGGTATCAGCTTTCATGTACATGCACACTTCTTCACGAGAGAGTGTATGAAAACGTCTGGGTTCCAAGGGGAACTGGGCATGTCCAGAGAGAAGGATTTCTCTTTATCCTTCTCCAGAACAGTCTGTTCACAGTAAAGATCTATAACTTTTTCAATCTTGTTTGTGCAGGGTCACACTGGCTGTGTCAACTGCCTTGAATGGAATGAAAAGGGAAAGTGAGTATGTCTTAAGATCTAAGGATGAACAAATGCATAGCATAGTTACTCAGGTCAGAATGAAAAGAATCCTGTAAATCCGGGTGAGCAACTGATTTTAAGACTGGCTGCTTTTGTCCGCTGCTTTTCTTCTCTTCTAGAAGTAATCTTGCAGAGGTGTGGGCTCCTGCCCCATTTATAGTGGTGGCTGGGGTGGGGGAGGCCATCCGCCAATCAGGGCTTCCTTGGTAGTCCTAGTGGCCAGTCTGTTCCTGTTTACCATTGTGGGGAGCAGAATGCTTTACTCAGTAGACCATTGGTGTGTTCCTGCATGGCAGTTCTTGGATTCATTTTGTGCATTATGATGTGATGACATTCAGTGAGGATAAAGTGCTGAAATGTGGGGGGAGTTAAGGCGAGCTACAGGAGTTAATGTCTCAGCAATGCTATCTGGAGACTTTGCTGATTGTTGCTGAAACAGTAACTGGGCTGCATTTGCCATGAGATCTGTAGTGCTATTTCTCCAGTGTTGTAGTGGTTAGGATGTTAGACCAGGATCCTAGAGATCCAGGTTCAGATCCCCATTTTGCCATGAAACTGCTTTGGTGACCTCAGGCCCATCATTCTCGCTCGTAGCCTCACTTAACTGACAGGGTTGTTATGAGAATAAAATTTAAGAGGGGAAGACTGTGTAACCTCTCTGAGTGAGGAAGGTTGGGGTACTATATACTATTTTTTTATTTAAATGTTTTTAAAATAGTCCTTTCATGCTAGCTTACAGGGTTCTCATGGTAGTTTGCCAACCTCTTAAACTACAGTGCACTAAAATCAGAGGCACCAAAAACACTTCTAGGTAGACTAGGTTATTCCTACTAGGGACTGATGCCCTTGTGTAATGGGAAATGAGACCCACTGTGGTGTAGTGGTTAGAATCAGACTAGGATCCGGAAGGCCCAGGTTTGAATTCCCCGTCTTCCATGGAAGCTCACTGGATGACCTTTAGCTTAACCTACCTCACAGGGTGGTGTTTGTGAGGATAAAATGAAAGAGAGTGTGATTAGCTGGTTTGAGTCCCGCCACGGGGAGAGAAGGCGGTAAAATATACTTTACCTGAGAGTGGTATAGACAGTTCAGCAAGGAAAACTCATCTGCTCTGGGGTTCAGTTCCTATAAAAGGCATGGAGGGGGGTCTGAGAGCTTCTTGCCAATGGCGGGGGGAACTGGAAATAAAAGTACCTTTTACAGGGCTTGCAACAGCTCCCAGCTTGTAAAGTTTTGTCTCCTTTGGCTTCTCAGCTTGCTGGCCTCTGGCTCAGATGATCAGCACACCATTGTGTGGGATCCCTTGCACCAGAAGAAGCTCCTTTCCATGCATACAGGGCATACGGCAAACATCTTCTCTGTCAAGGTGAGCTGGGTCCTGCGTGAGTTGGGGGGCAGGTTGTCTCCTTAAACAGCATCTAAGATAGCAAGTTTTTGTCAGTCATTTAAAAGAAAAAAAACACTTCTGAATCCACTGAAAAGGTGCTCCCAGTTCAGACAGCAGTTTGTTTTTGAAGAAAAAGCTGTAATATGAATACTTATTGAAAATGTATACCTTGCTTATATACTAATTTTTATTCAAGCATTTATATACTGCTTTATCTGCTCAAAGTGGCTTACAAATGTAAGCAAGCAGACAGCAGAAGAAGAAAAGGCACCTTCTAAGTGCAGGAAGGGTCTGTCTCTCTGCAAGCAGCCCTTGCCCTTCAGCTCCTGCCTGTAGACCAACTCAGGCTTAAAAGGTTTACCTGCAAAAAAGGGGCAAGGCTTGCGCCTCAGCTACAAGATCTTATAAACTGCTGGGCTTCCAAGTCCCTCGTCTTGCAGAACAAAAATTACAACATAATACATAGGAGAACATCAACAATGGGCTTTGCATGAGCAAACTTTCCTAAGAGTTAGATGTAATAGACAAGGACACCTTACTGAGCCTATTCAGACTTTTAGAGGGGTCAGGCAAGGATGCCTATTAGCTCCGATTCTATTTATTTTCTATATAAATAATCTATCCAGCTGACTCAATACCCCTGAACTCCATCCCCCTAAACTTGCCAATAGGCCTGTATTAGTGCATCTATACACTGATGACACAGTGTTATTTTCAAGAACTCCAGTAGGTCTTAGGAGAGTTCTTAGGAAGCTCTCCTCAGATTGTGAAAGCAAATTTCTTACTATCAATTACCAGAAAACCAAAATAGTAGCTTTTGGGAATAGACCCAAGACCAGGTCATGGTTGATGAATGGCCATCAGATTGAGCAGGTTAATTTTAAAAAATATCTTGGGGTAGTTCTATTGGATTCAGGCCCTAGGATCAACCACAGCAAATTTGTTGCCAATCAAGGAGAAAGATCAGCAAATATTATAGTAAAATTTCATCGATCACAAGGGGGGTATTATGTCTCAGCAGCTCTTAAACTATTTAGGGCTAAAACATTGGCCCAATTACTCTATGGGACATTTGTAGAGCCACCCGGCTCGTATTTAGCTCCCCAAGAAAGAGTGCAACCTAAGTTTCTAAGAACAATTCTACAAGTCCCCAGGTGTGTGCCTAATGCTAGGTTGAGACTGGAGACAGACAGCATTAGAGTTGAAGCACGAGTATGAATATTATTTGTGCGTGTGTGCGTGTGTGGCTAAAGGGACACTTTAATCCCCAAGGTTCATTCTGTCAGATTCCTGCAGCAATCAGTTCCCAACAGCTTTCATTCAGAGAAGTAAAGTTTATTGAGACAATTGTATGCAGTTACCTTAACCCTCTCATGTTAGAACTGATTAAAAGCATGCAAAGCAAACAGTTATACATAATTCAAAGAAACCCCCTGATGGATGAGGGCCAATTAGGGGCCCGGTAAAAGCCCATCAAATTAACAGGTATTAAGTCCCAAGAGAAAGACTATACCAGGCACTGAAGGTCAAGCATAGATAAGAGGAACAGAGAAGACACAGCAGAAATGAAACTTACCATTCCAAAGTCATCCCACTCCCATGGTAGCCAGGACTAGACAGAGGCCTCGTTCCCACTTATAAATAGACAATTTTTGATCTAACTGGCTAACTGTTCAGAGCTGTATTGTCAGGATTGGCTTCTCTCCTCATGCACTCCTGTGGTTATGATCAGGCAAAGGGATTAGTTAAACAGAGGACTGAGGACATAGAATGCCAAACTGATATTACTAGCCTACAAAAATGTGTATGTGTGGTCAAACTTTAGAAATATTGTGAAGCCGGAAGCTTATCGTCTTTAGAAATAAATGGATTCGGAAGGGCGTTTACCCTGGCAAGGTGTTTGGCTCTCCCTTCTGCAGTATTGGAAGGTAGATTTAACAAAACTCCCTATCTGGAAAGGCCCTGCTCCTGTCCCCTAAGAGAGTTTGAAACCGTGGAGCACATGTTTTTTAGCTGCCCATATTATAAGGAAGCACGTGATGAGATTATTACCCCGTCGTTAGGCAAATTCTCTGGTCTCACGGAAAAAGTTAGACTTGATTGTCTCCTATCTGATAAGAATGCCAAGATTATTCATCAAGTAGTTTGATTCTGTCTGGTGATATTTAGGTCTCGAAAACTGTACTGTAACTAGCGTTTAATTTTAAATTGTTTTATTTGGTCTGTCGTATGCCTGTATTTTTGAGTGTAAATGTGTTGTTATGATCGGTCAAGTGACCGTAAGAATCTCTCCCTATATATAATTGAGTACTGAACATTCTATTTCGCAACATTCTAAATTTGGCCTCCTTAGTGTTAGGCCGGAAGAAATGCCACTCAGAGGACACTGGCTGGGTTGACTGGCTGCTTTGTGCAGTCCCGCCCAGCGTTCCAAGGTCATTTGCATATGGAAGCTGATTGGACGTCACTCCATTCCACACCTCAAACTCACCCCCCCCCCCGCAAGGCAGTTGGAATTTTCGGTTGCATAGGGGAGCGGAGAAT